CCTCAAGCAGTGCTCAGTGGTGGTCCCGCCCTTTGCCCGCAGAGGGTGGGGTCCAGCCTGGGGGCGTCCCTGGCGTCCTGGAGAACATGACTTGCAGTTCCCGCTTTCAACCACCAGGTGTCGCCCACACCACACCAGGACGCCCAGCGTGGGGCTCCAGAATCGAGGGCGCAGAGGGCGTGGGAAATCTCATCTGCGGGCCACAAATAAGCTCTCCAGGCTGCCATTTGTCCTCACTAGCGCCCGGAGTTCCCCCTCCAGGACCAGACAGGTGTGACCAGCGCTGTGGGCCGAGGGGCCCCCCCTTCTCCAGCTATGGGCAGCTGTAGGTGAGGAAGCAGGATGGCCTTGGGGAGGGGTCACTGGGGCCAGAACTGGGAGGCCCAGTTCCATTCATCCAGCAGCCCTGCCACTGACCGCTACTCCTGCCCACCAGCCTTGGCCTTGGCCGTTCAGGGAGGGCTGGTTGTGCGAGGCCGTTTATCAGCCGCCCAACACTCCTCGGCCCAGGCTGCCCTATCTGGACGCTCAGCCGGCCCAGAGGAGCGAGGTCAGCCTCCTGACACAGCTCCAAGGGAGCTGGCCCTGTTCCCTTTGCAGGGTCTTAGCTCGGGGTGTGTGCTTCAAGCCCCAGGGGTCCGGCCATTCCTGTCTTTAGCCACACAGCCGAGATCTGGAAGCTTCCTGGCTGTGTGAGAAGGAAGTGTTCACTCAGGCAGTGGGGATGCATTTCTCCCTGCACAGACTCAGGCGAAGAAAAACCAGGCCTGTGTGTTTCTGTAACTCAACCCAACGGCTACCAGGGCCCTATTCTGACTGACGGCGGATAAAGTCATCTTGGCCAACCCCAGGTAAACGTGATCATTTGAACTCAGACAGTTTGAGGGTGGCCCTTTGCCCTTCCTTTGGCCTGGAGTGGCAGCTACATTCTAGGGTGTTATGGGGACTTATGGCATTGGGGTATGCCTGGTTTTCCATCAGCCCCCCAGCGCTGGCGTCCCCTGAAGGGACACTGTCACATCTGATCCCCCCGCCCTAGGTGCCCTCCAGGTGCCCGGTCCTCCACGGAGAGTGTTTCCCCTGTGTCAGCCTGTTCTCGCTGGCCTGTGCTAACCTCTGGGCCCTCGTCCTCCCTGCCTCCCTGCGTGTGCCTCCACTTACCAGTTCCCCCGGTTCCATCTGTCCTCAGGTGTCCGGCCTCTGGGGGATTCTTGTGCCCCAACCGCCTGAGGGTCAGGACCCCTTCTCAGAACCCCTGGTAGCATCCGACCCGCTTGCTTCCCCTGGGCCTTTCCTCATCCCCTCACTGGAGGGCTCTCCATCCTGTTTGGGAGTGGGGAGAACCCAGATGTTCTCAGGATCTTATTTTCTTCCCAAGTCTTTCTAGGACCACATTTTTAAAAAAACATAACGGTCAAGGTTTTGCATTAAGTTCTCTGCTCTGCAGAAATGGCTGCCCACCCAACAGGGAGGGTCGGAAAGAAGTGTGTGCACGTGCGTGCATGCCTGTGTGTATGTGCTTCACGTGTGTTAACGCTCCAGGTCCTTCCACCTGGTCCCTCTGAACTACTCCTGTTCCACGTGACAGGGGTGTGGCCTCGTTCCTAAGAACTGGATGCCGTGGGCTGGGGCAGGTGTGTGCCAGGCTGGGAACACGGGCTACCAGCGTGCTGGGCTTCTGCTCCCACTCTTAGAGCAGATCTGACCGTACAAACAGAATGCAGGCCACAAACACAAGCCATGTAGGTAACCTAAAATTGTCTCCTAGTCTCGTTAAGAAACAGGTGGAATGAATTTAAAGAATATGTTTTGTTTAGCCCAATAGGTGCCAAATGTCATCATTTCAACATGGAATCAATATAAAAGTTGTTGGTGACATAGCTTAAGTTATTCTGTTTGCATGAAGTCTCTGAAATCCGGCGTATGTTTTACAACACATCTCAACTCGGACGCTACGTTTTTTTTGTCGTTGTTGCTGTTGTTGTTGTTTTTTGCGGTACACGGGCCTCTCACTGCTGTGGCCTCTCCCGTTGCGGAGCACAGGCTCCGGACGCGCAGGCTCAGCGGCCATGGATCACGGGCCCAGCCGCTCCGCGGCATGTGGGATCCTCCCGGACCGGGGCACGAACCCGTGACCCCTGCATCGGCAGGCGGACTCTCAACCACTGCGCCACCTGGGAAGCCCGCCAACATATATATTTTTTTTAATATCTTTATTGGAGTATAATTGCTTTACAATGGTGTGTTAGTTTCTGCTGCATAACAAAGTGAATCAGCTACACGTATACATGTATCCCCACATGTCCTCCGTCTTGCGTCTCCCTCCCACCCTCCCTATCCCACCCCTCTAGGTGGTCACAAAGCACCGAGCTGATCAGGAGTGTCAGAGGGCAGGGACCAGGACATCTCTGAGGCACTGGACCAAAGAGCATCTCGGGAGCAAAGTGAGGACTGGAATCATGGTTTGAGGCGAGGCTGTGACAGTGGCAAGGGCCAGTCTTGAGGAGCCTGAGGGCCACGTTTGGGGGTTTGGTGCTGTCCTCTGATTTGTTTGATTCCAACAGCCAGTCCACCTCAGACCAAGCCTCCCCTGCTGACTTGGTGCGGGTCCTGGTCCCAGACCCCCCACCTGAGTGCTCTCTGGCATTCCAAGCCCTCCGCCCCATATGGCTGGCCTGATGCTCTAGGATGAGGTCTAAGAACCTTCTCTTCTGTGTGGGGTTTGGAGAACATCCAGGCAGGGGTGGGGGGAGGGTGGGAGTCCAGAGCTACTCAAAAGGCCATCTGTGGTGCAAAAGCATCCGCATCACCGGAGGGCTTAGAAGGAATGCAGAATCTTGGGTCCCCCTCCAGACCAGCAGAATCAGAATTCTGGCGACAGGGTCCAGGGATCTGCATTATTCGATCTTCGCTGGTTATTCTTATGCGCACACGAGTTTGAGAAACACTGCTGGTCTAGGACCTGTGCATTTCACAGGTGTGGGGACTTATATCCAGAGCATTGGTCTGGGTCCCACTTCTAGAGAGTGGCTGAATGGGACTGGAAAGCACATTGGGCCTCTGGGCTCTGAAGAATGTAGTTCAATGCCTTTAGGAAAAAAAATTCGTCTGGGGGACCCAACTTACGACTTGTCAAAAACCACCTGGGTGGTTGTCATCATGGAGTAGAGCTCAGAGGCTCATTCTTCTGGAAAAGAAATCCATCCATCTGTTTGCAGTCAGAGGAGGGTGTTCATGCAATGCCAGATGCCGTTTTGGGTGCCATGGTAACGGCATGCTTTGGTCAAGACTGTCCTGCCCTGCAGACAATTTCTGAAACAAATTAAAAAGTTGCCACGGAAGTTACTGGCACTTCTGGCTTTGTTCCAGCTCTCCCAGGAAGATGCCCTGCTATCCCCTCCACTTCTGTCTGTCGGGCTCCTACTCACCCTTTCATACCCAGCCCAAATGTCTCCTCCTTCCCACTTGAGTCATTGAATATGTCTTTACATGGCGTTCTCCTTTCTGTGTGCCCCAGTTTCCCTCTTCTTATAAAGATACAGGTCATTGGATCGGAGCCCTCCCCACTGCAGAGCTCATCTTAACTAATTACATCTGCAAACACCTTATTTCCAAATACGATCATGTGCACAGGTTCCAAGAATTAGTACATCAACCTATCTTTTTTGGGGGACATAATTCAACCCACAACAGAGGGGGTTATAGCTGTGGGCTGCTGGGGTTCAGTCTTAGCTGGTGATCCTTCACGAGGCTGGTGGAACATGCCTCAGAACTGTACCCCCGGAGGTGAGGGGCTGAGGTGTTCCCCCACCCGCTCCCACCCTGTGGAGCTGGCTGAGAACAGCCTTGAAGACTTGGTGGGCATCTCTTCTCAACTTTGCATTCATCAGCAGCATGGTGCTAGCTTGACCTTGGCCACGGGGAGGAGTATTTACACCACAGAAATTGGGGAACCTTACCAATCAGGGTTTTTATTTTTTCCTTTGATTACCAACTCACCACACTGCTCCCGCCCCTCCTTGGTTGGGGGTCTGAGCTAACTCTAGCCCTCTGGCCTGCCCTGGAGTTGGCTGGGCGTGCTCCCCGGAAGAGGGCTCCAGGAGACATGTGCCTCCAGGTGATCTGGGCGTGGCGTTGGGGGCCAGACTAGGGGGGACACCTGGCTTCCCAGGGGATTAGCCAGCCCAGCCCTCTCGGAGGCCTGATTTGCCCATGGGCGTGAGCAATCAGCTGTTGCTTTCAGAGTTGCGCTGACAGATGTGGCCAAAGGGCAGAGGGTGTTATTAGGAAAGAGAGACTGTGTGATCTACAGCAGTGGTGGCCCGGGACGGCTGGGCCTGTGGACAGTGGGAGGATGGAAGAGAGCTGGCAGGATGCGAGCGGGATGAGGGATCTGCATTTCATTGAGACAGTGTGCCGGAGTCTGCGCTGGCCGAGATTAAATAGCCCGTGCCCTGCGTGCAGAAAGGCAGGAATAAATGAGGCTTTCCTGCAAGCAGGGTGGCAGCGAGTTAATTAGGAACGGGATAAATACGTTTCAAGTCACAAAGAAGCCCAGTAGCAAGCACGGAGCATCTCGGTCCCACAAGTTGTCCCTCTTGCGGAGAGGCTGCGGTCCGCCCTTCCCGCTGAAGGATGCGCAGGACCCGGGGGGAGTCAGAGAGGAGCGGAGGGCAGAGGGAGCTGGTGTAGGCAGGAGACCCTTGCTTGTGTCCAGCGGGCTGTGGTGGCGGCCGGGGCTCGGGGTGGAGGCCATCATGGGGAGAGAAGTGGCACCCCTGCCCCGTGGCCCTCGTGGCCGGACCGCTGCCCAGGCTGGCATGGGCTCACCCTGGGTCCCCGTCTGACTCTCCATGCACTGCGTTCTGCTGCTCTCCCGAGCCGTGAATCCCTGGACGGCAGGGATCCCGTCTGGGAATTGCAGAGCTCAGGGATGCGAAAGAGGCTTTCATAAACACTAGTTCTCAAAACAGAAAAATGTGAAATGGGGAGAGAATCACCTTCTGCTGACCCCCAAAGTGGAGCATGCGATGCTCTGGGAACTTACTGGCGCTGTAGGAATCATCAGCCTGTTTCACAGAGGCTGTGGGCAGAAGCGGAGGCCCGGCTGGGCCCGGTGGAGCAGAAATGATGACTCAGAAGCCACAGCGTCTCCGAAAGAGATGTTGCCTCAGGGCCACACTTCTGGTTTCCTCCCTGCCTGGGGCTTCCAGCTCTGGCCATCCCAATGTCTCCCCTGAGACTCTGCAGCCCCTGAGTCAGCACTCCCCTCCCCCAAGGAGGAGGTCATAGGACAGGGAGGCTGGCTGGGCATCCCAGTCCTTGTGGGAGGTGCCCAGGGGGTCCCAGCGGGGTGGGCGTGGGGGGCATGAACCGCTGAGCCCTCCTCCTATGGGCCCACTTGAACACCTGACGCCCAGATGGGGGTGTGGAAACTTCCAGAGGCAGCCAGATGCTCTGTGAGTGGGAATGTGGGTCTTGAGAAACGCTTTATGGTGTTTACCTTTACAGAAGTATTATGCGCTCACTGCAACATTCAGATCCTTACAAGGCGGAAAGCGGGCACTGCCCTCCTCCCTCCAGTCCCTAAACCCAGAGGTGCGCCCTGTTGACATGAGGCATCTCCATCCCCGGACATTTCTGCGCACATGCAAGCCTGCGCACTTAGACGTATATACATGCTTTGGGCGCGTATGACGCATAGTTTCAGAATTTGCTTCTCCCACATGCCAGTGCATCCTGGACATCTTTGCACGTCAGGACACGTGGGGCTCCCTCGCTTACTTCATGAACCTAGAATTCTGTGGGTCCCGTTATTTGTTGCTCTGTGGCCTACTGAATTCTTCTCTTTTGGGCAATTACAGGCAAGGCTGCCTCGGGCACCCGTGGACACAGTTGGTGTGCACTTGGGCTAGTGTTTTGGCAGCGCCGAGGCTGAGTCGGCTTTCTGGGCTTCGGCTCAACAGTGAGCTCTGCTGTTAGCCAGCCCTGGGGTTGAGGCCCAGATCTCCTGGGCAGGTCACTTAACTCTGTGCCTCAGTTTGCTGACCTGAGAAATGGGATTCCACACCCTCCTTTACAGGATGAAATGGGTGACTGTTCAGCGGGTGTTACCACCCGCGTGGGCTGAGCTCTCTGATTCCGGGTCTCTGCCTGGGTGTGGGTGGCTCGGGCCTGGGCCCAGGATCCAGGCCTCCACCAGCGCCTGGCCAGCAGGAGAACAATGCCCGGCTCCAGGAGAGCAGCAGGCCCTTCCCTGGCTGTCAGGGCGTGAAGATTAGATGCAGAATAATGCAGTCCCCCATCAAACCTGCAGCTGTAACTCAGGCCCCAGACTCTGCCAGCGCCATAAATTTGGGCAGCCAGAAAGTGCAGCTCTAGCAGTTTGCGAACAAGAGTGGAGGAGGCCAAGTGAGTTACGGCGGAAGCAAGGCCCCCTGCCCGGCATTGTTAGCCAGAGCCAGGGATTGATTGCTCACTAGCTTAATGAAATTGAATTTTAATTTATACCCAGCCCACGGTGGCGGTGGGGAGTGCCTGGGCAGAAGTGGGCTCAGCCCCGGGACGGGGGCTCCTTTACGGGGTGGGGGCCCCAGCAGCCCAACCCTACAGGAGGGAGTGATGGGCAACCCAGGGTGGCATCTGCTCCCAAAAGTTTCAAAGTCCTGCCAGCGGGGGGCTTTGGGCAAGTTGTGGGACCTCCCTGAGCTTCATCGCCCCGTCTGGTCGTAGCTGCCTGGCTCAGGCGCAAACCCCCCGTGGGCTCAGTGAAGGGAGGGTCCCTATCCCGCCCCTTCGCGGGCACTGGAAGCCCCACGAGGTGCTAGGACCAGGTGGGGATGAGATGTTGGGGGAGGGGAGGGTGAATGATTCGGGGGGCTCTTTGGGGGCCCCCAACTCACCTGTCCCAGGTGTCCAAAGATGACACTTTCAAACCTGCTGCTGCTGGTTGCCACATTAATGCAGTATTTTCCAAAGCCTGACAAGCGTGGGGCGCCCTGGGTGGCGTTGACCTCCTCTGCCGAGTGCACACGTCACACACACGCTCTCGGGGCCACGTGACAGATCTCACACTGCTGGGTGAGACTGGCCTGCCTGCAAATCCCAGCAGCGTGTTTCCTGCCCTGGGAAAGCACTGCCCATTCTCCCCCTTCCTCGGCTGGAGGTGAGGAGAGCGTCTCCGTCCCAGGTGTTTCGAGGGTTCGGCACGTCGTGTTCCTAAGTGCCTGGCCCACGGTGGAGGCCACGTTCTCAATGGAGCTTCCCCAGATGCTGCTCAGGCCTCAGCAGATGACACGGTGGGGCTGGCGGGGTGAGTGCCACCAGCACCCACCACTGTGGCCAAGGTAGAATGAGGGTCTCTTTTTGGGCCCAGTGAGAAGGGACTTCACAGAGTGGCGAGGGCGCTTGGGCATCCCAGGAGCAGGGGTTATCCCTGCCAGGGGCAGGACCAGAGGGCCAGGGCCTTCCCTGAACCTGGACGGAGGGGCAGAGCGGAGGGGCGAGGAGGGGCTGAGGCCTCCCCCGACTGGCCTGGGAGGCCGGGAGGAACACCTGGAACTCCCTCTGCCCCTCCCACCGTGAGGCCCTGCCAGGCACCTGGATGTCCGTCTGGGCTGTGCCAGTGGCTTCTGGTGTGACCCCGGGCAAGCTGCCTCAGCTGCAGGCCACAGGCCTCCTGTTAGTAAGGCAGGAGGGTGGCCTGGCTCCTGAGGGTCTGTGGACTCTTCTCTAGCCTGTGCCCTGACTGTCGTCCATCCAGGCACCCACGGGGCCTCTGGGCCGGTCCTGCTTCCAGCCCCGCCGGCAGGTACCAGGGGCCAGTGGAGGGGCCAGGAGGCAATGCTGCCTCCGTCACTAAGCTGCGACGAGCTGATTAGGCTGATGAGCCACATGTAAATCACTGGCTTCAGGTGGAAACTCTTTTCTGCTGGCCGGATCTGTCATGTCAAGTAAAGTCATCGGTTTAGACACAGGGTGTGTACATGGCAGAGGAGTGGGGGAAAAGGGGGAACCCCAGACTGTCTGTGTTGAGGCACCTTTAGAAGATGTGGCACATGTATACAATGGAATATTACTCAGCCATAAAGAGGAACGAAATTGTGCCATTTGCAGAGACGTGGATGGACCTAGAGTCTGTCATACAGAGTGAAGTAAGTCAGAAAGAGAAAAACAAATACCGTATGCTAACACGTATATGTGGAATCTAGAAAAATGGTAGAGGTGAACCTATCTGCAGGGCAGGAATAGAGACACAGATGTAGAGAACGGACATGTGGACATGATGGGGAACGGGGAGGGTGGGATGAATTGGGAGATTAGGTTTGACATATATACACTACCATGTGTAAACTAGATAGCTAGTGGGAACCTGCAGTATAGCCCAGGGAGCTCAGGCCGGGGCTCTGCGATGACCTAGGTGGGTGGGATGGAGGGGGTGGGAGGGAGGTTCGAGAGGGAGGGGTATATGTAGACATAGAGCTGATTCACTTTGTCTTACAGCAGAAACTAACACAACATTGTAAAGCAACTCTACTCCAATAAAAAAACAAACATTAGAAACCAGCTCCCACCTTTGATTTTACAGATGGAGACACACAGGCCCAGAGAGGGACAGGTGCTTGCCTGAGGTCACACAGCAAGTGAGCGGGAGAGTTGGGACCAGCCTGGGCCACCTTGGCATGGACCCGGGTGTGGCATCATCAGGCCTGTGGGCCCCATGGAATGAGGCAGATGGCAAAAAGGCAGGTTATTCCTGTGTCATCGGGCAGAAAGGAGGCCGAGTGTCGCGACATCCCTTTCTGGTCCAGAGTTCAAATTCCACCCCTACAATTTTTGGTGCCTGGACAGTTCCCTCAGATACAGAAAAAGATGCCCATCCTCTGGGCGGCCACAGCCAGTGTGGCCTGGTGAGTGGGCACAGGCAGACAGTCAGCCCCACTCAGACCCTGGTGCAAAAGGCCTTGATCCGCACTGATGTGCCATCCTGACCCCAGCTGCATCTTTCTTTAAGTCAAGTCACCTTTTTTTCAATATACACAAACTGATGATAAAAGAAAACTATACATTGCCATGATTTAGGGGAAACCAGCATTGTTTGCCCAAATAGACAATAACATAAGAATAAATGTCTTCAACACATCTTATAGTATTACGTTATAATGTATATCACATATATAATATATGTATATGTGATATATATTATTTCTATATATCACATATATATCATTATACTATATTTTATCTTATTAAAAAAGCCCTCATACCTCTCAGATCACTTGCATGTTGCATGTTGGAAACACTACCTTTCCTGAGCCGGTGGCTGAGTGCTTTCTGGTGAAGGTCTTGCTGCTGTGCCGGGTGTTGCTAAAACGTGCGCAGCTTGAGCCCGAGCGAACCCACTCACGAGGATGCGCTGGCCGGGCTGGGTCTGCTGGGGTCGGGGAGGAACATTCTGGCCCAGGTCCGGGCTGGCCAGGAGGTGGGGTGCTGGCCGCAGGGGCTGGGGACGGAGTGGGCTGGGTGTCGGGTGAGCACCACTGCGCTAGGTGCCTTGCATCCATCCTCCCAGCAGCTCTCAGAGGGGTTTTAATATCCCCACTTCATTTTACCATCTTTTCGTGAAATAATTCAAACATACAGAGGGCCGCAGAAAGCAGCAGCAGAGCCTGTCGTGGGCCCCCCGCCTTCCAGCTCCAGAGTTCCAATGTGTCCTGTGCAGGTGCTTTCCCGGGATTTTATGAAAGAAAGAGACGTTGACAGGTGTGGCTGAAGCCCCTTCTCGCCACGTCCCTTACCCCAACCCTTTCCCTTCTCTCCCCTGAGAAGGAGCCACGTTCCCCACTGGTTATTTACTTTTCCATTGCATGAATGTGTATTGTTACTGCATATTGTATGTAACCCTATGTGATATATGCGGTGTTGCTTTCCAATTTCATACAGATCCATGCCCTTTTTACAGTTGGAAATACAGAGACAGCTGTTCAAGTTCACATAGTTGTGAGGGGCCATCCAGGCTCAAATCCTGTTCCTGGGGCCTTCAGTAATCACGGGGTGGGGCCCGGAGAGAAGCTTCCCCTCCAGCCAGGCCACCCTGGGCCAGCGGTGGAGGGCACTGGATTTATCGGGACGACTTCTAGCGTCTGGGGACCTCCTGGGCAGTGCTGGGTCTCAGAGGAGGGCAGGATAGCCTGCCCTTTCTGCTCCGTGTTGTTTCCCAGATGGTGAGCCACCGATTCCTGCTCCAGGAGCCGGTGCGGGGAGTCTGCGGCCCCAGGGATGACCAGGCGAGGCCACTTCTCTGCAGATCCGGGGAAAGCGTCATCCTGGGAGATTTATGTCACCAAGGACTGCAGAGCTCTGGGTTGGGGGAACGGGACCCCAGCCACCCCTCCCTGTCGCTCTGATGGAAAGGTGGGCCATGGGCCTGAGGGAGAGGGTCTGCAGGAGGCTGGGTTTGCCAAGCTGGCAGCAGCCTGTTTTGGAGAATTTGAAGAGGGTGGGGTGCGTGGGGGGGCAGGTGGCAGGCACAGCCTGGAGGGAACCGGGCCACCAGTGGGGCTGGGGTCCTCATGCACGTGTGTGACCTGTGACCGGGGACCCAGCACCCAAGTGTGCACCATCACAGTCCTGACACCCCACTCCCCAGCATGAGCAGACGTGTGTGCACACACACCCAAACACACGCGCATGCCTGTACATGAGCACACAAACACACAGAGATCACATGCACACCCCAAACACACACACACGTCTGTGCATACCCAAACACATGTACACAAACATGTGTACACACACTCCCAAGCACAGACATGTGTACACACCTACACAGCATAGTGAAGCCCTTCTCACCACTAGAGGGTACTAGACGTCTTCCCAGCCTAGAAACTCATTTGCTGAAATTGACGCATACACACACGTAGGCGCGTGCGCGCGCGCACACACACACGCACAGTCCAAAAAGAAAAAAAAAAGAAAGAAGGGAGGGCAGAAAGAAAAAGAAAAGAAAATCCTTAGAAAAATATACCAGTTGATGGTAATTCAAGCTGACGATGGCTATAAATGCTGGAGGCTGATCATAATAAAGTATGAATGGGGCTGTGCCATATTAACAGAGATATTTAATGCTTTCCTTCCGAGATCCATCGGCTGCTCTGAGATTTCTCCCGACACGTACACCCGCTGCCTTGACCCCTCCTCCAGGCTGCTTCCCACTTGCGACCTGAAACGGGTCCAGCAGATGTTGCCGTGTCCCGATTCCCCTGCCTGGGTGGATGCAGCCCAGGTCCCACCCCCAGCTTTGCCATCTCTCTGGGAGAAGCAGGACCAAAACGAGCTGTTCTCACTTGACCCGGGCTTGCAGCATTTCCTCCCTCCCATCTGGTGCACAGGGCAACGGTGGGTGAGTATCTGCGTAGTTGTTTATTTTAAGCTGTCAGGGCTCCAGGGACAGGGAAGGATGGTTTTTCTCGAGGTGAGCTCTGGGCCAGGCCTCCCAGGCCCAAGCTCTGTCTGAAGGTCTGCCTTCCTTCCTGCTTAGGGGCCCCCAGCCATGCTCAAGGTCAGACACACCCTCAGGGCCACTTGTAAGGCGGCTGGAGGGGCCTCTGCCGTGGGACCCGGGCCCTCTCTTGCCAGGGCTTGGGGACCGAGCGTGCGCTCGACGGGCCCTGCTTCCGTCCTCGGCTCTTCCCCGCACGCCAGACCTTGTCTCTCTTCCCTGTACCGTGGGTACAGGACTGGCTCCCTGCCCCCATCTTGCCACCACTTCGTGGTTCCAGGCTTTGCTAGGTTTGGGGAACAGAAGGATGAAAGTGACTCAGGAGGGGGTCCCAGGGGTGTGGGGAGCGGCAGAGCTAACCCCGACTGCAAACCCAGCCCGAGTCTATGGGGTGGTCAGCACTGAGACCCGGTGCCTGTGTCGCTGAGGACAAAAATACGGCCCCTGCCGGGACGGAGGTTTACTTCTCTGGAAACGCGTTCACCCTTTGCGAACGCTTCGTGAGCACCGACTGTGTGCCAGGCGTGTGACTTCGTGACCGAGAAGGCAGCCCAGGCTCTGCTGGAGTTGACATCCTTTGTCTGTTTCCTGTGGCCGCCGCAACAAATTACCACAAACCATGGGCTTAAAACAGCAGAAATGTATTCTCTGGATGCCACCAGTCTGAAATCAAGGCGTCTGCAGGGCTGTTCTCTCTCCAAGGCTCCAGGGGAGGATCCTTCCTGCCTCTGCCCGCTCTGGGGGCCCCCGGGCGTTCCTTGGCTTGTGGCTGCATCACCCCAATCCCTGCCTCTGTCCTCACAGGGCCGTCTTCCTTCTGTGTCCCTGTATCCAAACCTCCCTCTCGTTTCTCTTATGAGGACTCCAGTCATTGGATTAGGGCCCACCCTCAATCCAATATGACCTCCTCTTTCCTTTGTTGCATTCAGAGAAGTTCTTTGACATATAAAAATTGTGTGCCTCAAAGTGGTACAACTTGATGTTTTGATAGATGCATTCATTGTGAAAAGATTGCCATAATCAAGTTAAATAACTAATCCATCACCTTGCATGGTTGCCAGTCTGTGTGTGTTGTAAGAACTCTTAATTTAAGATGTATCCTCTTAGCAAACTCTCGTATACAATGCAGTATTTTTACCCATTCTCACTGTGCTATACATTCCCAGAGCTCATGCATCTTGTACAACTGAAACTGTGTACCTCATCTTAACCTGGTTACATCTGCAAAGATGCTATTTCCAAATAAGGGCATCTCCATGGGCATTGGGGGGACAATATCAACCTATATGATAGGACAATATCAACCTATCCTCAACCTATCCGGGGGGACATGGAGCGTTAGAGAGGGCTGAGGGGGTGCATCCCTGTCAGAGGGAGCAGCAGCTCTGCAAGCCTCAGACAGGAAGAGTTTGGAGCACAGCCAGCGTGGCTGAATGTGGAAAGCAGGAGTAAGAAGGTTCTGGAAGGTTCTGGAAGGTTCTGGAAGGGGCTGGATGGGGCCAGCTGCTGGGCCAGGGCCAGTCACTCTCATCCAACCCCAGCATCTCCCCGGGGGAAGGTCTAAGGCAGGGGAGTGATGTGACCCTGCCGTGTTCCAGGAAGACCCCTCCGACAGGGGTTCTGCACTTGGGTCCATGCACAGGATCCGGGTGTGGCGGGGGGTCTGTGAGTTTTGACCGGAAAACTTACGTCTTCATTTTCTCTAACCTCTAACTGGAAGTTAGTGTTTTCTTCCGCTGTGAACGGACGTGATGACCACAGGGTTGTGGGCGCAGCTCTGGTATTTGCTCACTGACAGAAACCCAGCATCTCTGTGTCTCCTGTGACTGTCACAGGTGGCCTGAAATACCGCCATGCTCATCACAGCTTTGGGATAATGCCAGTGGTCCGCCCCATCACTGGATCTTCTTGGTGAATATTGTTATGTAACGCATTTAGGACAAAGGCATAAATTACCAGATTACGGGTTTGCTCTTTAAATATTTTGATAACTGTATTTCAACAAAGACAGTTTCCTTTGCAAGCCTGTGCATTTTATTTCATGCATTAAAAATGTTATTTTGAAGCTGGAGAGGGTGTGGAGAAAAGGGAACCCTCCTATACTGTTGGTGGGAATGTACATTGGTGCAGCCACTACAGAAAACAGTGTGGAGGTTCCTTCAAAAACTAAAAATAGAGTTAGCATATGATCCAGCAATCCCACTCCTGGGCATATACAGCAGCACTACTTATAATAGCCAAGACATGGAAGCAACCTAAGTGTCCATCAACAGATGTATGGATAAAGAAGATGTGTGTGTGTGTGTGTGTGTGTGTGTGTGTGTGTGTGTACACACACACACACACACACACACACAATGGAATATTACTCAGCCATAAAAAAGAATAAAATATTGCTATCTGTAGCAACATGGATGGACCTAGAGATTATCATACTGAGTGAAGTCAGACAAAGACCAATATTATATCATATCACTTATATGTGGAATCTAAAAAATAATACAAATGAACTTATTTACAAACAGAAACAGACTCACAGACGTAGAAAACAAACTTACGGTTACCAAAGGGGAAAAGGGGGGAGGGATAAATTAGGAGTTTGGGATGAACAGATACGCACCGCTGTATATAAATAGACAAATAATAAGGATATACTGTATAGCACAGGGCACTCTATTATTCAGTGTCTTATAATAACCTATAATGGAAAGAAAAAAAGATATAACTGAGTCACTTTGCTGCACACCTGAAACTAACACAATATTGTAAATCAACTATACTTCCATTTTTAAAAATGTTATTTTGAGAGAGTCTCTGGCTTTTCAGATGCCCAAGCGTTCATGGCACAAAAATGGGTTAGAATTGCTGCTGGTCGACCAGTCAGAGGGTGATCCAGTCAGGAGGGCTGGCCGGGGGTGGGGGCTGGAGAGAAGCAGGTTAAGCTATGAATTGAGGCTGAGCGTTAGCCTTCCAGCTTGAGTGACTGGTGAGGGTGTGATGCCATATACGGAGGGGGAAGAGGAATAGGTTGGGGAGGGAAATGGCACATTTGTTTGGCTTTGAACATCTAACTTGGGCAAATGCCACTGGAGAAGCCAAGGGGCCCTGGCCTCACTAGACCCGCAGTTAGCAACAGCTGAGCCAGAGATGCCAAGTGGAGGGTTCCCTGTGTGAGCTTGCTTGGTCCTCACAGTGACTCCATGTGGTACATCACCCAGGTTTTATAGTCTCACTTTACAGATGACCTTCGCTGGGGTGGGTCATAGAAAGTTATCTTAGAACTCAGAAGTCTCCATGCCATCCCTGGGATGCTGCATCTCCGGCCCACAGATACCCAAGGACCCCTCACTGTGCAGCCACATCTGAGCACACCTGTCACTGAGATGCCTGCTGTCCCCGTGCCAGGTCTTGGGCTGGGGGCACAGAAGGGGAAGAGAGGGCCTTGCTCTGGGGGAGATGAGGGTCTTTCAGTCTTGAGCTCTGTTCCTCTGTGTGTCTGTCTCTTTTCTGTTTCTCGGCTCTCCATCTCTCCCCACCTCCACCCTGAGGCCAACACAGTTTCACAGCCTCACGCCCACAGTCACGTTCAGTCAGACACAAATGCTGGAGGAGACATGCAGCATCGGTCAAAACAAGATCAGAACCGAACATGACATGTGATAGGAAAGAAAGAAATTCCTGTATTAGAGATTCATTTCCAGTCACGCCGGCTGGCTCGGAAACTTTCAATACAATTTTTAGCCCCGCACCTGGGGGTTCGAAGCAGCCTGGGCTCAGAGAATAGTGTGAGCCCTCGGCCCCCTCATTCACCAGTGGCTAATTTTAGTATCCAAACAAACCAGAAACCTCCTCTCTTCTTTCTCCTCCATGCCACCCCCCGCTGCCCACCCCCTTCACAGGCAGCTGCGGCTCTGCCCACGCCCGGGAGCCCCAGACTTCCTGCCGCCTCGCCGCAGCCTTGCCACGGAGGGCAAGCCCAGGGGCCCAGGGACCCAGGCCCAAGTGCTCTGGGGGGCAGAGGGCTTTGTTGGCAGCAGGGACAGTGCAGGGAGTGAGGGCGCGGGGTCAGCACAGATGAGTGGCCGGTGAGGGGACAGGACGGAAGGAGGCAAACCCACCTGCATCTCGGTACCTGTGGCCTCTCCCACAGGCCCTCTCAGCACAGGGTTGGGGGCATCCCTCTCTCTCTTCAACGCTCCCTCCTGAGCACTCCAGCCTCCCTGACTTTTGTCTGACCTTGACCCCCTCCCCTAAACTGGAGCAAGCCCCAGGCAGCTGGGACGAGCGTCCTGAGGTTTCCCTCTTCGAGTCTCAGCTCTGCCCCTGCCTGGCGGCGAGGCCCCTCCGAGCCTCAGTTTCCCCATCTATTAAATGAGGTGATATTTGCCACCGGCACAGATGGGTGCCAGGCTTGGAAATGACATTCGTGAATGTGCCTGGCACACAGTAGGTGCACTGGTCCGCTGGAGGGGGCGGCACTCTTCGGCTAGTTTGGAGGGTCTTTTTTGAGGTCAGAGGTCTAAGGCCCCCAAACCAAAGGGAGCAGCAATCCCGCAGGGCTCACCCGAAGCGGTGCTCAGAGGCAGGCGTGAACAAATAATTAATGGGAGGTGATGGGGAATTGATGTGATTGTGGGAAGACGGCCTGCGTGGGCCATGGCGTCCCCGCCCCGGGGCTCCTGCTTCATCCATCAGCAGAGGTCTGCTAACAATAGGCCGGGCAGCTGCCTGGCACAGGGCAGCGGCTTCTGGGCCGGCCAACTGCATCCCCGACCCGGCCTGCGAGGGGCGGACTTGGCCCCTTAGGAGGAGCCCAGCCGCACCCAGCTCCCCCGAGACCCCCATGAGCCCCGTGAACAAAAGCGACCTCCACCTTCAGTTTACATTTTAAAAAATGCATAAAAATTCAACAACACAACTGGACCCAGAGAAAAGTTAGCTGTGAACCCAGGAAAGGTCACGGAGTGGGTGCGGCCATGTGCTGCCTTTTTTCTCTCTGAGCTGCATCTCTGAGCCGCCCACATGGAAAATTATCCCTCTGGTGTCTTGCTTGGATTTTTTTCTCCTCTGAAGGCTAAGGCCACAAGGGAAAGCCAGAATCACAGAGTGGGGAACGTCTTTGGGGCTTGTGGGAGTGCCTTGGGGGCCTCCACTTATGACTCCTTTTCTGCAAATGGCCAGTCCCCCAACCCCAGCCTGCTGGTGCCCACAGCTGGTCACACCAGGGGTGGATGCCTGACGCGGCCTGGTCCAAAC